ATGCCAACACAAGGTCTCACTTTCTCAATTCAATCTCGGATTCCATTCTCTCTGGTTCGTCTCCTTCAATTCAACCTCTGTTTCATTTCACAATTTTGTATTTCTCTTACTCGTTCGTCTTATCCCGTGGAATTTTCTTGGGGTTTTACATCTCGATTTTCGTCTGATTCTACTTTCTCGTTGACCCAACAAATTGTTTGATGTTATGCAGTTTCCTTAGTTTGAAAAATGTGTTCTTTTGCGTAGCTTTGGTTTTGGGTCAATGCGATTCATAGGTTATTGGATACTAACACAAAACATTGATTCGTGGAATATAGGTCAGCTCACAAAGATGCATTAAAGGCGTTACCTTTATTTGCCTTGCACAAGTTTAGATAAAGCCAAGTACTCATTTTGCAGCTGTGTTAACCTTTTAGCCTTTGTAGTTCCTGCATACCATCTTATCTCGCTTGGGGTTTACTTCTTTGTTGTTTATAAAGTGAACAAGATTGCCACGTATGGTTGAGACATAATCTTCATTCGTCGTAAAAGCATCTTCTTCTTGTTGTGTTTTGTTGGGCAGGTAGAATGAAAGGCTTCAAAGACTGGGTTTTTGCTCTATCCAATTCAATGGCATCATCTAGACCACTTTTGGGTAGTGACCCTTTTTTCCGTCAGCCTGAAGAACAAGATAACCACTGTATGATATCTCTCTTCCTTCCTCCTATCCTCTGTTACAATGATTGTGGGATTGGTGTGGATTTATTACCTCTTCTTATGCTCTGTGACCATATCCTCTTTATTTCAGTCACTCTTTTTTCTTGTAATATCAAAATGGCACTTCATGTGGTCTCTACTTTAATTTGGTCTATGTTTATTGATCTTTATAATTGAATTGGACTTCGGTTTCTGATACTTTAGCCAATTGTTGATTGTTTGATCCTTCTCAAAAGTTTATCTTCTTACTGATTTTTATGTTTTCTTTGGCTAAATACGTTTCAATTTTTTTTTTTCTTTTAGCTCAAGCACCTGCTTTACCAGAGCCAGTGACAATCTCGGAAACACCATGTTCAACCAGTGGTGATATAGAAATTCAGCCTCCTCTCTCTCAGTCTCACCAACAAGCTCCACTTGAAAACTTGTACCAGTCAAGTTTTGATCTTAACGAAAAGAAACATAATCCACTAGCAAAGATTGGTGACCTCCAAGTACAGTTTTTACGCCTTGTTCAAAGGTTTGGGCAGTCGCAGAATAATATTCTAGTCTCCAAGGTTTTATATCGGGTCCATCTTGCAATGCTGATACGAGCGGAGGAATCAGAACTGAAAACAGTAAAAGTTAGGCAAGATAGGTCCAGAGCTCTAGCGAGGGAGCAAGAATCATCTGGCATACCAGAATTGGATTTCTCACTTCGAATCCTTGTCCTGGGGAAGACAGGTGTCGGCAAGAGTGCAACCATAAACTCCATTTTTGGTCAGTCTAAAAGTGAAACTGATGCTTTCAGACCAGTTACAGATCACATAGAAGAGGTTATGGGAACTGTTAGTGGAGTTAAAGTAACCTTTATTGATACCCCTGGTTTTCACCCACTGTCAGCTTCTAGCACAAGAAAAAACCGAAAGATTCTGCTCACTATCAAGAGATACGTTAAGAAGCGTCCACCTGATGTAGTTCTTTACTTGGACCGCCTTGATATGATCGACATGCGATACAGTGATTTCCCCCTCCTGAAACTTATAACTGAAATCTTGGGTGCAGCTATATGGTTAAACACGATACTTGTAATGACGCATTCTTCAACTGCTTCAGAAGGACGTAATGGACAATCTGTGAACTTCGAGTCATATGTGGGCCAGCGCATGGATGTGGTTCAGCACTATATTCATCAGGCCGTGTCTGATACAAAACTAGAAAACCCTGTGCTGTTAGTTGAGAATCATCCGGGCTGTAAAAAGAATCATGCGGGTGAGTATGTTCTTCCAAACGGACTGGTATGGAAGCCTCAGTTTATGTTTTTGTGCGTTTGTACCAAAGTTCTTGGCGATGTCCAATCTCTACTGAAGTTTCATGACAGCATTGGCCTGGGACAGCCAAGTAGTACCCGAACAGCTTCCCTTCCTCATCTTATTTCAGTTTTTCTGCGTCGTCGCTTATCATCAGGTGCAGATGAAGCAGAGAAAGAGATAGACGAGCTTCTGAATTCAGACTTAGAGGAGGAAGATGAGTATGACCAGTTGCCTACAATCCGGATCCTTGGAAAATCCCGATTTGAGAAGCTGTCAAAGTCTCAGAAGAAAGAGTATCTCGATGAGCTTGATTACAGGGAAACCCTTTACATGAAAAAACAGTTGAAGGAAGAATGTCGAAGACGACGGGATGAAAAGCTAATTGAAGAGGAAAATCTGAACAAGGACACCGAACACAGCGATCAAGCAGCAGTTCCACTGCCTGACATGGCTGGTCCAGACAGTTTTGATTCGGATTTTCCGGCGCACAGATACCGATGCATTGCGACAAGTGATCAGTGGCTGGTGAGACCTGTCTATGATCCCCAAGGCTGGGATCGAGATGTGGGATTTGATGGAATAAATATTGAGACAGCTGCAAAATTTAAAAGGAATCTATTTGCTTCAGCTACTGGACAGGTGAGCAGAGACAAGCAACGCTTCACCTTCCAATCTGAGACTAATGCAGCTTATACTACAGACTCTAGAGAACAGACATTCTCTGTAGCTGTTGACCTTCAGTCATCAGGAGAAGATCTGGTCTACTCGTTTCACGGTGGCACAAAGCTTAAAACTTTTAAGCACAACACAACCGACCTTGGGGTCGCTTTGACAAATTTTGGTGGGAAGTACTACTTGGGCGGAAAGCTTGAGGATTCCTTATTGGTTGGGAAGAGGGTGAAGTTAACGGTAAATGCAGGTCAGATGAGGGGTTCAGGGCAAACCGTACATGGGGGGACCTTTGAAGCTTGTATCAGAGGGAGAGATTACCCGGTCAGAAATGAGCAAATCGGTGTGACAATGACAGCTCTGTCTTTCAAGCAAGAGCTGGTCTTGAACTGGGGTTTGCAGACTCAGCTTAGACCAACCAGGG